GTGTACGTGTGTGTGTGTATTGGTGTGTGTACGTGTGTGTGGGTATTGGTGTGTGTACGTGTGTGTGTGTGTGGGTATTGGTGTGTGTACGTACGCGTGTGTGTGTGTAAGAGTACGTGTGTGTACGTGTGTGTGTGTGAAAGTGTGTGTGCGTTACGTGTGTGTGTGTGTGCGTTACGTGTGTGTGTGTGTGCGTTACGTGCGTGTACGTTACACGCGCGTGTGTGTGCGTTACGTGTGTGTGTGTGTGTGACTGTGTGTGTTACGTGTGTGTACGTTACGTGTGTGTGTGTGCGTTACGTGTGTGTACGTTACGTGTGTGTGTGTGTGTGTGACTGTGTGTGTGTGTGTGTCTGTGTGTGTGTGTGTGACTGTGTGTGTGTGTGACTGTGTGTGTGTGTGTGCGTGCAGGTGACGTGTCCGGCGTGGTTGGCCGTGACAACGCCAATGGCGTCGACCTCAACCGCGACTTCCCCCGCCGCTTGGCCGCCGCCGGCGTGGGCCAGGGCCGGCCGCAGCAGCCGGAGACGCTGGCGGTGATGAGCTGGGCGCTGCGGGAACCATTCGTGCTGTCGGCGAACCTGCACGGCGGTACGCTGGGGGACACGCTGGGGGACACGCTGGGGGAGACACTGGGGGAGACACTGGGAGACACTGGGGGACACGCTGGGGGAGACACTGGGACACTGTGGGAGACACTGGGACACTCTGGGACACTCTGGGACACACTGGGGGACACGCTGGGAGACACTGGGACACTCTGGGACACGCTGGGAGAGACACTCTGGGAGACACTGGGGGACACTGGGGGACACTCTGGGAGACACTGGGGGACACTGGGGGACACTCTGGGGGAGACACTGGGGGACACTGGGACACTCTGGGACACTCTGGGACACTCTGGGACACTCTGGGACACTCTGGGACACTCTGGGACACTCTGGGAGACACTGGGAGACACTGGGGGACACTCTGGGACACTCTGGGACACTCTGGGACACTGTGGGAGACACTGGGACACTCTGGGGGACACGCTGGGACACTCTGGGACACTCTGGGACACTCTGGGACACTCTGGGAGACACTGGGAGACACTGGGGGACACTCTGGGACACTCTGGGACACTGGGGCACACTGGGAGACACTGGGACACTCTGGGGGACACTCTGGGACACTCTGGGACACTGGGGCACACTGGGAGACACGCTGGGGGACACTCTGGGGGACACTCTGGGGGACACTCTGGGGGACACTCTGGGGGACACTGTGGGAGACACTCTGGGGGACACTCTGGGGGACACTCTGGGGGACACTGTGGGAGACACTCTGGGGGACACTCTGGGGGACACTCTGGGGGACACTCTGGGGGACACTCTGGGGGACACTCTGGGGGACACTGTGGGAGACACTCTGGGGGACACTCTGGGGGACACTCTGGGGGACACTGGGACACTCTGGGAGACACTCTGGGGGACACTCTGGAGGACACTCTGGGGGACACTCTGGGGGACACTCTGGGACACTCTGGGGGACACTCTGGGGGACGCTCTGGGGGACACTCTGGGGGACACTGGGGGACACTCTGGGGGACACTCTGGGGGACACTCTGGGGGACACTGGGACACTCTGGGGGACACTCTGGGGAACACTCTGGGAGACACTGTGGGAGACACTCTGGGGGACACTCTGGGGGACACTCTGGGAGACACTCTGGGGGACACTCTGGGGGACACTCTGGGGGACACTCTGGGGGACACTGGGACACTCTGGGAGACACTCTGGGGGACACTCTGGGGGACACTCTGGGGGACACTCTGGGGGACACTCTGGGGGACACTCTGGGGGACACTCTGGGGGACACTGTGGGAGACACTGTGGGAGACACTCTGGGGGACACTCTGGGGGACACTCTGGGGGACACTCTGGGGGACACTCTGGGGGACACTCTGGGAGACACTCTGGGGGACACTCTGGGGGACACTCTGGGAGACACTCTGGGGGACACTCTGGGGGACACTCTGGGGGACACTCTGGGGGACACTGGGGGACACTCTGGGGGACACTCTGGGGGACACTGTGGGGGATACTGGGGGACACTCTGGGGGACACTGGGGGGGACACTGGGGGGGACACTCTGGGGGACACTGTGGGGGACACTCTGGGAGACACTCTGGGAGACACTCTGGGGGACACTCTGGGAGACACTGGGGGAGACACTCTGGGGGACATTGGGGGACACTCTGGGGGACACTGGGGGACACTCTGGGGGACACTCTGGGGGACACTCTGGGGGACACACTGGGGGACACTCTGGGAGACACTCTGGGGGACACTCTGGGGGACACTCTGGGGGACACTCTGGGGGACACTCTGGGAGACACTCTGGGGGACACTGTGGGAGACACTGTGGGAGACACTCTGGGGGACACTCTGGGGGACACTGGGGAGACACTCTGGGGGACACTCTGGGGGACACTCTGGGGGACACTCTGGGGGACACTGGGGGGGACACTCTTGGGGACACTCTGGGGACACTCTGGGGGACACTCTGGGGGACACTCTGGGACACTCTGGGGGACACTCTGGGGGACACTGTGGGGGACACTGTGGGGGACACTCTGGGGGACACTCTGGGGGCACTCTGGGGGACACTCTGGGGGACACTCTGGGGGACACTCTGGGGGACACTGGGACACTCTGGGAGACACTCTGGGAGACACTCTGGGGGACACTGGGGGAGACACTCTGGGAGACACTGTGGGGGACACTCTGGGGGACACTCTGGGGGACACTCTGGGGGACACTCTGGGGGACACTCTGGGGGACACTCTGGGGGACACTCTGGGGGACACTCTGGGGGACACTGGGGGAGACACTCTGGGAGACACTGTGGGGGACACTCTGGGGGACACTCTGGGGGACACTCTGGGGGACACTCTGGGGGACACTCTGGGAGACACTGTGGGGGACACTGGGGGAGACACTGTGGGAGACACTGTGGGAGACACACTGGGGGACACTGGGGGACACTCTGGGAGACACTCTGGGGGACACTCTGGGAGACACTGTGGGGGACACTCTGGGGGACACTCTGGGGGACACTCTGGGGGACACTCTGGGGGACACTCTGGGGGACACTCTGGGAGACACTGGGGGACACTCTGGGGGACACTCTGGGGGACGCTCTGGGGGACACTCTGGGGGACACTCTGGGGGACACTCTGGGGGACACTCTGGGAGACACTCTGGGGGACACTCTGGGAGACACTGTGGGAGACACTCTGGGAGACACTGGGGGACACTCTGGGGGACACTCTGGGAGACACTGGGGGACACTGGGGGACACTGGGACACTCTGGGGGACACTCTGGGAGACACTCTGGGAGACACTCTGAGAGACACTTGGGGACTCTCTGGGGGACACTCTGGGAGACACTCTGGGAGACACTCTGGGGGACACTGTAGGAGACACTGTGGGAGACACTGTGGGAGACACTGTAGGAGACACTGTGGGAGACACTGTGGGAGACACTCTGGGGGACACTCTGGGGACACTCTGGGAGACACTGTGGGAGACACTCTGGGGGACACTCTGGGGGACACTGTGGGAGACACTCTGGGGGACACTGGGGGACACTCTGGGGGACACTCTGGGGGACACTCTGGGGGACACTCTGGGAGACACTCTGGGGGACACTCTGGGGGACACTCTGGGGGACACTCTGGGAGACACTCTGGGGGACACTCTGGGGGACACTCTGGGGGACACTCTGGGAGACACTCTGGGGGACACTGGGGGACACTCTGGGGGACACTGTGGGAGACACTCTGGGAGACACTGGGGGACACTCTGGGGGACACTGTGGGGGACACTCTGGGGGACACTGTGGGAGACACTCTGGGAGACACTGGGGGACACTCTGGGGGACACTCTGGGGGACACTCTGGGAGACACTGTGGGGGACACTCTGGGGGACACTCTGGGGGACACTGTGGGAGACACTCTGGGGGACACTCTGGGGGACACTGGGGGACACTCTGGGGGACACTCTGGGGGACACTCTGGGACACTCTGGGGGACACTCTGGGGGACACTGTGGGGGACACTGGGGGACACTCTGGGGGACACTGGGGGGGACACTGGGGGGGACACTCTGGGGGACACTGTGGGGGACACTCTGGGACACTCTGGGAGACACTCTGGGGGACACTGTGGGGGACACTCTGGGGGACATTGGGGGACACTCTGGGGGACACTGGGGGACACTCTGGGGGACACTCTGGGGGACACTCTGGGACACTCTGGGGGACACTGGGGGACACTCTGGGAGACACTCTGGGACACTCTGGGAGACACTGGGGGAGACACTCTGGGGGACACTCTGGGGGACACTGGGGGGACACTCTGGGGGACACTCTGGGGGACACTCTGGGAGACACTGTGGGGAACACTCTGGGGTACACTCTGGGGGACACTCTGGGGGACACTGGGGGACACTCTGGGGGACACTCTGGGAGACACTGTGGGGGACACTCTGGGGGGACACTCTGGGGGACACTCTGGGGGGACACTCTGGGGAGACACTCTGGGAGACACTGTGGGGACACTCTGGGGACACTCTGGGGGACACTCTGGGGGACACTCTGGGACACTCTGGGGGACACTCTGGGGGACACTGTGGGGGACACTGTGGGGGACACTCTGGGGGACACTCTGGGAGACACTGTGGGGAACACTCTGGGGGACACTCTGGGGGACACTCTGGGGGACACTGGGACACTCTGGGAGACACTCTGGGGGACACTCTGGGGGACACTCTGGGAGACACTCTGGGGGACACTGGGGGAGACACTCTGGGAGACACTGTGGGGGACACTCTGGGGGACACTCTGGGGGACACTCTGGGGGACACTCTGGGGGACACTCTGGGAGACACTCTGGGAGACACTCTGGGGGACACTGGGGGAGACACTCTGGGGGACACTCTGGGGGACACTGTGGGGGACACTCTGGGAGACACTCTGGGGGACACTGGGGGACACTCTGGGGGACACTCTGGGAGACACTCTGGGGGACACTCTGGGAGACACTGTGGGGGACACTCTGGGGGACACTCTGGGGGACACTCTGGGGGACACTCTGGGGACACTCTGGGGGACACTCTGGGGGACACTCTGGGAGACACTCTGGGGGACACTCTGGGGGACACTCTGGGGACACTCTGGGGGACACTCTGGGGGACACTCTGGGGGACACTCTGGGAGACACTCTGGGGGACACTCTGGGGGACACTGTGGGAGACACTCTGGGAGACACTCTGGGAGACACTGGGGGACACTCTGGGGGACACTCTGGGAGACACTCTGGGGGACACTCTGGGGGACACTCTGGGGGACACTCTGGGGGACACTGTGGGAGACACTCTGGGGGACACTCTGGGGGACACTCTGGGGGACACTGTGGGGGACACTCTGGGGGACACTCTGGGGGACACTCTGGGGGACACTCTGGGGGACACTCTGGGAGACACTCTGGGGGACACTCTGGGGGACACTCTGGGGGACACTCTGGGGGACACTCTGGGGGACACTCTGGGGGACACTCTGGGAGACACTCTGGGGGAAACTCTGGGGGACACTCTGGGGGACACTCTGGGGGACACTCTGGGAGACACTGTGGGAGACACTCTGGGAGACACTGGGGGACACTCTGGGGGACACTCTGGGAGACACTGGGGGACACTCTGGGGGACACTGGGACACTCTGGGGGACACTCTGGGAGACACTCTGGGAGACACTCTGAGAGACACTGTGGGGGACACTCTGGGGGACACTCTGGGGGACACTCTGGGGGACACTCTGGGAGACACTCTGGGGGACACTGTGGGAGACGCTGTGGGGGACACTCGGTGAGACACTCTGGGAGACACTTGGGAACACTCTGGGAGACACTGTGGGAGACACTCTGGGAGACACTGGGGGACACTCTGGGGGACACTCTGGGAGACACTGGGGGACACTGGGGGACACTGGGACACTCTGGGGGACACTCTGGGAGACACTCTGGGAGACACTCTGAGAGACACTGTGGGGGACACTCTGGGGGACACTCTGGGGGACACTCTGGGGGACATTCTGGGAGACACTCTGGGGGACACTGTGGGAGACGCTGTGGGGGACACTCTGGGAGACACTCTGGGAGACACTGTGGGGGACACTCTGGGGGACACTCTGGGGGACACTCTGGGGGACACTCTGGGGGACACTCTGGGAGACACTGGGGGACACTCTGGGGGACACTCTGGGGGACGCTCTGGGGGACACTCTGGGGGACACTCTGGGGGACACTCTGGGGGACACTCTGGGAGACACTCTGGGGGACACTCTGGGGGACACTCTGGGGGACACTCTGGGGGACACTCTGGGGGACACTCTGGGGGACACTCTGGGGGACACTCTGGGGGACACTCTGGGAGACACTCTGGGGGACACTCTGGGGGACACTCTGGGGGACACTCTGGGGGACACTCTGGGGGACACTCTGGGGGACACTCTGGGGGACACTCTGGGGGACACTCTGGGAGACACTCTGGGGGACACTCTGGGGGACACTGTGGGAGACACTCTGGGAGACACTCTGGGGGACACTCTGGGGGACACTCTGGGGGACACTCTGGGAGACACTGGGGGACACTCTGGGGGACACTCTGGGGGACGCTCTGGGGGACACTCTGGGCGACACTCTGGGGGACACTCTGGGGGACACTCTGGGGGACACTCTGGGGGACACTCTGGGGGACACTCTGGGAGACACTCTGGGGGAAACTCTGGGGGACACTCTGGGGGACACTCTGGGGGGACACTCTGGGAGACACTGTGGGAGACACTCTGGGAGACACTGGGGGACACTCTGGGGGACACTCTGGGAGACACTGGGGGACACTCTGGGGGACACTGGGACACTCTGGGGGACACTCTGGGAGACACTCTGGGAGACACTCTGAGAGACACTGTGGGGGACACTCTGGGGGACACTCTGGGGGACACTCTGGGGGACATTCTGGGAGACACTCTGGGGGACACTGTGGGAGACGCTGTGGGGGACACTCGGTGAGACACTCTGGGAGACACTTGGGAACACTCTGGGAGACACTGTGGGAGACACTCTGGGAGACACTGGGGGACACTCTGGGGGACACTCTGGGAGACACTGGGGGACACTGGGGGACACTGGGACACTCTGGGGGACACTCTGGGGGACACTCTGGGAGACACTCTGGGAGACACTCTGAGAGACACTGTGGGGGACACTCTGGGGGACACTCTGGGGGACACTGTGGGAGACGCTGTGGGGGACACTCTGGGAGACACTCTGGGAGACACTTGGGAACACTCTGGGGGACACACTGGGGGACACTCTGGGGGACACTCTGGGGGACACTCTGGGGGACACTCTGGGGGACACTCTGGGGGACACTCTGGGGGACACTCTGGGGGACACTCTGGGGGACACTCTGGGACACTCTGGGGGACACTCTGGGAGACACTCTGGGAGACACTGGGGGACACTCTGGGGGACACTCTGGGAGACACTCTGGGGGACACTGTGGGAGACACTCTGGGGGACACTCTGGGGGACACTGGGGGACACTCTGGGGGACACTCTGGGGGACACTCTGGGGGACACTCTGGGGGACACTCTGGGGGACATTGGGGGACACTCTGGGGGACACTCTGGGGGACACTGTGGGGGACACTGGGGGACACTCTGGGGGACACTGGGGGGGACACTGGGGGGGACACTCTGGGGGACACTGTGGGGGACACTCTGGGACACTCTGGGAGACACTCTGGGGGACACTGTGGGGGACACTCTGGGGACATTGGGGGACACTCTGGGGGACACTGGGGGACACTCTGGGGGACACTCTGGGGGACACTCTGGGACACTCTGGGGGACACTCTGGGGGACACTCTGGGAGACACTGGGGGACACTGGGGGACACTCTGGGGGACACTGTGGGAGACACTGGGGGACACTCTGGGGGACACTCTGGGGGACACTCTGGGGGACACTCTGGGGGACACTCTGGGGGACACTCTGGGGGACACTCTGGGGGACACTCTGGGGGACACTGGGGGACACTCTGGGGGACACTCTGGGGGACACTCTGGGAGACACTCTGGGACACTCTGGGAGACACTGGGGGGGACACTCTTGGGGACACTCTGGGGGACACTCTGGGGGACACTCTGGGACACTCTGGGGGACACTCTGGGGGACACTGTGGGGGACACTGTGGGGGACACTCTGGGGGACACTCTGGGGGACACTCTGGGGGACACTCTGGGGGACACTGGGACACTCTGGGAGACACTCTGGGAGACACTCTGGGGGACACTGGGGGAGACACTCTGGGAGACACTGTGGGGGACACTCTGGGGGACACTCTGGGGGACACTCTGGGGGACACTCTGGGGGACACTCTGGGACACTCTGGGGGACACTGTGGGGGACACTGTGGGGGACACTCTGGGGGACACTCTGGGACACTCTGGGGGACACTGTGGGGGACACTGTGGGGGACACTCTGGGACACACTGGGGGACACTCTGGGGGACACTCTGGGGGACACTCTGGGGGGCACTCTGGGAGACACTCTGGGGGACACTCTGGGAGACACTCTGGGGGACACTCTGGGGGACACTGGGGGAGACACTCTGGGGGACACTCTGGGGGACACTGGGGGACACTCTGGGGGACACTCTGGGGGACACTCTGGGGGGCACTCTGGAGGACACTCTGGGAGACACTCTGGGAGACACTCTGGGGGACACTCTGGGGGGCACTCTGGGGGACACTCTGGGGGACACTCTGGGGGACACTCTGGGGGACACTCTGGGGGACACTCTGGGGGACACTCTGGGGGGCACTCTGGGGGACACTCTGGGGGACACTCTGGGAGACACTCTGGGACACTCTGGGAGACACTCTGGGGGACACTCTGGGGGACACTCTGGGGGACACTCTGGACACTCACCTTAACAGCACGCTGACACACGCACACACGCGGTGACTGTGTGTGTGAGTGCGTGCGTGTGTGTGTCGTCTGTGTGTGTCGTGTGTGTGTCATGTGTATGTGTGTGTGGTGTACGTGTGTGTGTCATGTGTATGTGTGTGTTGGGTACGTGTGTGTGTAATGTGTACGTGTGTGTGTAATGTGTATGTATGTGTGTGTGTGGTGTACGTGTGTGTCGTGTGTGTGTGCATCGTGTGTGTGTGTGGTGTACGTGTGTCCATGTGTGTGTGTGTGGTGTACGTGTGTGTCGTGTGTGTGTGTGTGAGCGTGTGTCCATGTGTGTGTGTTTGTGTGTGTGTCGTGTGTGGCGTGTGTGTGTGTCGTGTGCGTGTGTGTCATGCGTGTGTCATGTGTGTGTGTGTGTGTGTGGTGTACGTGTGTGTCGTGTGTGTGTGGTGTGCGTGTGTGGCGTGTGTGTGTCGTGTGTGTGTGTGTGTGGTGTACGTGTGTGTCGTGTGTGTGTGGTGTACGTGTGTGTCGTGTGTGTGTCATGTGTATGTGTGTGTCGTGTGTGTGTGTGTGTCGTGTGTGTGTGTGTGTCATGTGTATGTGTGTGTGGTGTACGTGTGTGTCGTGTGTGTGTGTGTGTCGTGTGTGTGTGTGTGTGTGTGTGTCGTGCGTCATGTGTGTGTCATGTGTGTGTCATGTGTGTGTCATGTGTGCGTGTGTGCATGTATGTCGTGTGTGCGTGTCGTGTGTGTCGTGTGTCCAATTGTGTGTGTGTGTGTTTGTGTGTGTGTCATGTGTGTGTGTGTCATGTGTGCGTCATGTGTGTGTGTGTGCGTCATGTGTGTGCGTGCGTGTTGCAGGCTCGCTGGTGGTCAACTACCCGTACGATGACTCCCCGCAAGGTCGTCCCCGCTACACAGCCAGCCCCGATGACGCCATCTTCCGTCAGCTGGCGCTCGCCTACGCAGACGTGGGAGAACGCCCTCACTCACTCACTCATTCACTCACTCACTCATTCACTCACTCACTCACTCACTCGCTCGCTCGCTCACTCACTCACTACTCACTCACTCGCTCACTCACTCACTGCTCACTCACTCGCTCACTCACTCACTCATTCACTCACTCACCACTCACTCACTCACTCAGTCACTCACTCACTCACTCACTCGCCACTCACTCACCCACTCGCTCGCTCACTCACTACTCACTCACTCACTCACTACTCACTCACTCACTCGCTCACTCACTCACTCACTACTCACTCACTCAGCCACTCACTCACTCACTCGCTCTCTCACTCACTCACTCATTCACTCACTCATTCACTCACTCACTCACTCGCTCACTCACTCACTCACCACTCGCTCGCTCACTCACTCACTCACCACTCGCTCGCTCACTCACTCACTACTCACTCACTCACTCTCTCACTCACTCGCTCATTCACTCACTACTCACTCACTCATTCACTCACTCACTACTCACTCACTCACTCACCACTCACTCACCACTCACTCACTCACTCACTACTCACTCACTCACTCACCCACCCACTCACTCACTCGCTCGCTCACTCACTCACTCACTACTCACTCGCTCACTACTCACTCACTCACTCACCCACTCACTCACTCGCTCGCTCACTCACTCACTACTCACTCACTCGCTCGCTCACTCACTCACTACTCACTCACTCATTCATTCACTCACTCACTCACTCATTCACTTACTCACTCACTCACTGCTCACTCACTCACTCATTCACTCACTCACTCACTCACTGCTCACTCACTCACTCACTCATTCACTCACTCACTCACTCATTCACTCACTCACTCGCTCACTCGCTCGCTCACTCACTACTCACTCACTACTCACTCACTACTCACTCACTCACTCACCACTCACTCACTCACTCGCTCACTCACTCACTCACTACTCACTCGCTCACTCACTCGCTCGCTCACTCACTACTCACTCACTCACTCGCTCACTCACTCACTCGCTCGCTCACTCACTCACTCACTACTCACTCATTCACTCACTCATTCACTCACTCACTCACTCACCCACTCACTCACCCACTCACTCACTCACCACTCACTCACTCACTCACCACTCACTCACTCACTCGCTCACTCGCTCACTCGCTCATTCACTCACTCACTCACTACTCACTCACTCACTCATTCACTCACTCACTCACTACTCACTCACTCACCCACTACTCACTCACTCATTCACTCACTCACTCACTCACTACTCACTCACTCATTCACTCACTCATTCACTCACTCATTCACCCACTCACTCACTCACTCACACACTCGCTCGCTCACTCACTCACTACTCACTCACTCACTCACTACTCACTCACTCACTCACTCGCTCGCTCACTCACTACTCACTCACTCATTCACTCACTCGCTCACTCACTCACTCGCTCGCTCGCTCACTCACACACTCGCTCGCTCACTCACTACTCACTCACTCACTCACTACTCACTCACTCGCTCGCTCACTCACTACTCACTCACTCACTCACCCGCTCACTCACTCACTCACTCGCTCACTCACTCACTCACTACTCACTCACTCACTACTCACTCGCTACTCACTCACTCACTCATTCACTCACTACTCACTCACTCACCACTCACTCGCTCACTCACTCACTCACTACTCACTCACTCACTGCTCACTCACTCGCTCACTCACTCACTGCTCACTCACTCGCTCACTCACTCACTCGCTCACTCGCTCGCTCACTCACTCACTCATTCACTCACTCACTCACTCACCCACTCACTCACTCACTCACTCGCTCACTCACTCACTCACTCATTCACTCACTCACTCATTCACTCACTCATTCACTCACTCATTCACTCACTCACTACTCACTCACTCACTCACCACTCACTCACTCACTCACCCACTCACTCGCTCACTCACTCACTCACCACTCACTCACTCACTCACCCACTCACTCACTCACTCGCTCACTCACTCACTCGCTCACTCACTCATTCACTCACTCACTCACTCGCTCACTCCTCACTCACTCACCACTCGCTCGCTCGCTCACTCACTCACTCGCTCACTCACTCACTCATTCACTCACTCATTCACTCACTCACTCGCTCATTCACTCACTCACTCACTCACCACTCACTCACTCACTCGCTCACTCACTCACTCACCACTCGCTCGCTCACTCACTCACTACTCACTCACTCACTCTCTCACTCACTCGCTCATTCACTCACTACTCACTCACTCATTCACTCACTCACTACTCACTCACTCACTCACCACTCACTCACCACTCACTCACTCACTCACTACTCACTCACTCACTCACCCACCCACTCACTCACTCGCTCGCTCACTCACTCACTCACTACTCACTCGCTCACTACTCACTCACTCACTCACCCACTCACTCACTCGCTCGCTCACTCACTCACTACTCACTCACTCATTCATTCACTCACTCACTCACTCATTCACTTACTCACTCACTCACTGCTCACTCACTCACTCATTCACTCACTCACTCACTGCTCACTCACTCACTCACTCATTCACTCACTCACTCACTCATTCACTCACTCACTCGCTCACTCGCTCGCTCACTCACTACTCACTCACTACTCACTCACTACTCACTCACTCACTCACCACTCACTCACTCACTCGCTCACTCACTCACTCACTACTCACTCGCTCACTCACTCGCTCGCTCACTCACTACTCACTCACTCACTCGCTCACTCACTCACTCGCTCGCTCACTCACTCACTCACTACTCACTCATTCACTCACTCATTCACTCACTCACTCACTCACCCACTCACTCACCCACTCACTCACTCACTCACCACTCACTCACTCACTCACCACTCACTCACTCACTCGCTCACTCGCTCACTCGCTCATTCACTCACTCACTCACTACTCACTCACTCACTCATTCACTCACTCACTCACTCATTCACTCACTCACTCACTACTCACTCACTCACCCACTACTCACTCACTCATTCACTCACTCACTCACTCGCTCGCTCGCTCACTCACACACTCGCTCGCTCACTCACTACTCACTCACTCACTCACTACTCACTCACTCGCTCGCTCACTCACTACTCACTCACTCACTCACCCGCTCACTCACTCACTCACTCGCTCACTCACTCACTCACTACTCACTCACTCACTACTCACTCGCTACTCACTCACTCACTCATTCACTCACTACTCACTCACTCACCACTCACTCGCTCACTCACTCACTCACTACTCACTCACTCACTGCTCACTCACTCGCTCACTCACTCACTGCTCACTCACTCGCTCACTCACTCACTCGCTCACTCGCTCGCTCACTCACTCACTCATTCACTCACTCACTCACTCACCCACTCACTCACTCACTCACTCGCTCACTCACTCACTCACTCATTCACTCACTCACTCATTCACTCACTCATTCACTCACTCATTCACTCACTCACTACTCACTCACTCACTCACCACTCACTCACTCACTCACCCACTCACTCGCTCACTCACTCACTCACCACTCACTCACTCACTCACCCACTCACTCACTCACTCGCTCACTCACTCACTCGCTCACTCACTCATTCACTCACTCACTCACTCGCTCACTCCTCACTCACTCACCACTCGCTCGCTCGCTCACTCACTCACTCACTCGCTCACTCACTCACTCATTCACTCACTCATTCACTCACTCACTCGCTCATTCACTCACTCACTCACTCACCACTCACTCACTCACTCGCTCACTCACTCACTCACCACTCGCTCGCTCACTCACTCACTACTCACTCACTCACTCTCTCACTCACTCGCTCATTCACTCACTACTCACTCACTCATTCACTCACTCACTACTCACTCACTCACTCACCACTCACTCACCACTCACTCACTCACTCACTACTCACTCACTCACTCACCCACCCACTCACTCACTCGCTCGCTCACTCACTCACTCACTACTCACTCGCTCACTACTCACTCACTCACTCACCCACTCACTCACTCGCTCGCTCACTCACTCACTACTCACTCACTCATTCATTCACTCACTCACTCACTCATTCACTTACTCACTCACTCACTGCTCACTCACTCACTCATTCACTCACTCACTCACTGCTCACTCACTCACTCATTCACTCACTCACTCACTCATTCACTCACTCACTCGCTCACTCGCTCGCTCACTCACTACTCACTCACTACTCACTCACTACTCACTCACTCACTCACCACTCACTCACTCACTCGCTCACTCACTCACTCACTACTCACTCGCTCACTCACTCGCTCGCTCACTCACTACTCACTCACTCACTCGCTCACTCACTCACTCGCTCGCTCACTCACTCACTCACTACTCACTCATTCACTCACTCATTCACTCACTCACTCACTCACCCACTCACTCACCCACTCACTCACTCACTCACCACTCACTCACTCACTCACCACTCACTCACTCACTCGCTCACTCGCTCACTCGCTCATTCACTCACTCACTCACTACTCACTCACTCACTCATTCACTCACTCACTCACTCATTCACTCACTCACTCACTACTCACTCACTCACCCACTACTCACTCACTCATTCACTCACTCACTCACTCACTACTCACTCACTCATTCACTCACTCATTCACTCACTCATTCACCCACTCACTCACTCACTCACACACTCGCTCGCTCACTCACTCACTACTCACTCACTCACTCACTACTCACTCACTCACTCACTCGCTCGCTCACTCACTACTCACTCACTCATTCACTCACTCGCTCACTCACTCACTCGCTCGCTCGCTCACTCACACACTCGCTCGCTCACTCACTACTCACTCACTCACTCACTACTCACTCACTCGCTCGCTCACTCACTACTCACTCAC